TAGGGAAGGACTGGCCAGAACAGCCCAGGCTCAGTTCCCACCCTCCCCAGAAACATGGTATCCTTCAACACTTCAGTCCAACAAGTCATGTTGACCCTGGGTATAAAACCCAGTGCTACGGATTGGATATGGTTTGTTTGGCCCCGCCTTGTCGCATGTCGAGATTCGATTCCCAGTGCTGGAGGTAGGGCCTGCTGGGATCCTGTTTGGACCATGGGGGCGGATCCGTCATGAATGGCTTGGTGCCATTTTTGTGGAAATAAGTGAGTTCTCACTCATTTGCTGAGAGCACTGATGTTAAAAAGAGCCTGGTGTAGCCTGGCCAACATGGCAAAATGCCATAAAAAATTAGCCAGGCATGGTGGTATGTGCCTGTAGTCCCAGCTACCCAGGAGGCTGAGGTGTGAGGATTGTTTAAGCCTAGGAGATTGAGTCTGCAGTGAACTGTGATCACAGTACTGCACTCCAACCTGGGCAACAGAGTGATACTCTATCGAAAAAAAAAAAAAAACAAGTGCCTCCCTCCCCTCTCACTTGCTTCTGCTCTCCCACCATGAGATCTCTGCACATGATGGCTTCCCTTGTCTTCCACCATGAGTGGAAGCAGCCTGATGCCCCAACCAGAAGTGGATGCCGACGCCACACTTCTTGTACAGCCTACAGAATTTTCAGTCAAATAAACTTATTTTCTTTATAAATTACCCAGCCTCAGGTATTCCCGTATAGCAACACAAACAGACTAAGACACCCAGGGAAGGCTGCCTTCTGGGGTTCCTCAGCTGCTCTGCAAATGGAGCACACACAGATGAGACCCCGTGTATCCCAGGCAGCTTTCCTGAGCCTTGGGGACCCAGCTTGCAAGGAATCCTAGGCTTCTGTTATCCTTTGCTGCCCATCTGTCAGTAATAAGCCCACTTCATGTAACTCGTGTGTGGGTCTCACTGGACTCAGGCAAGTTGGTCACCAGTGCACAGTGAACCTGCTTTGCACCAGATGTAAGATTTGGTCTCAGATGTGCCTGGCCCTAAAGCCTGTGTGGGTCCTTTCTTTTGTGCAGTTGGAAATCAAGGAACATGAGCCACCTGACAGCCAAAGTCACAGTTGCAGTAACTTACATGGAGGATGATATGGTTTGGCTCTGTGTCCCCACCCAAATCTCACCTTGAATTGTAATAATCCCCATGAGTCATGGGAGGGACCTGGTGAGAGGTAATTGAATCATGGGGGTGGGTTTTTCTCATGCTGTTCTCATGATAGTGAATAAGTCTCATGAGATCTGACAGCATCATAATGGGCAGTTCCCCTGCACATGCACTCTTGCCTGCCGCCATGTAAGACATGCCTTTCTCCTCTTTCACCTTCCACCATGATCGTGAGGCTTCCCCAGTCATGTGGAACTGTGAGTCCATTAAACCTTTTATTTAAAAACAAACAAATTACCTGGTCTTGGGTATGTCTTTATTAGCAGCATAAGAACAGACTAATACAGTGGGTACAGACAGTTACAAATACCCGCTGTGTGTCTAGACTGGGCAAAAAAAATCTTTAGGACACTCATTTTTCCCATTCTACTCATTAATAGGTGGCCCTAAAGCAGGCTTTGTCTGTAGGCTGCAAAAAGGTGTTGCTCATATTTTTCTCAGCCCCACACATGAATTAAGGGACCAATGCCACTCCCCTGCCCTGCTGGTCACACCAACTTAACCTCTTTTGGGATCATGGGGGCAAGTGCGTTTAGCAACCTGCTGCTCAACATGTAGCCACCCTGCCGGTAACCTCAGCATCACTGGGACCTTGTGAGAAATATGGGACCTCAGGCCCCATCCCAGACCTGTTGAATCAAAATTTGCTTTCTAAAAAGACACACAGGGAATTTGTGCATACAGTAAAGTTTGAGATTCATTAATTTAGCAAAATGGATAAGACTGGAAAGCAGTTCACCTGCTTTCTAGCTCAGTGAGCTGGAGCACGTCTCTGAAATTCTCTGATCCTCAGCTATGAGAAGGATTGAATCATTAGAAGTTGCCTTTTTAAAAAATATTTACAAAATATAGGTACAATCCAAATATAAGCAATTTCATATGGTTCAACAAAATACTCATTTTGTTGGATTGTTGTGATAATTCATTTAAAAATGAGATAAAAGATAGAAAGCATTTGGTACATAGTGGGTGTTTGCTCAATGGTAATTACTGCCTGTGTGCAGGGAGAATAGCCTTAATCACCTTACCCCCATGGGTTCCTGTGAAAACCAAGCAAAAAACCCCAGGTATATGCAACTTTTCATTTAACTGGAGTCTATAATAGAAGGTCCCTGCTGTGTAGGCCATTCTGTTCCCTCTGAGTCACCCAGCATGTCTGAGGGGGTGTTATCCCAGTGGATTTACAATCTTCCCCAGAAAAAGCATGCTTCCCGTTTCCATGTGGAAAGTCATCACCAGGAAGGGCCGACTGAACTCAGTGCCTGGAGTGGGTGAGAGGTCAAGGTCTGGGTGAGGCCTGGGGGTGAGCTGAATGCTGGTGGCTGCAGCAGCTTCAGAGCCCTTCTCATCCAGAGTCATCATGGCCTTATGAGTGACCTGCAAGGAAAATTCTAGAATCATCAAGCCACCCCATAGGAAGGACAAACCAGGCCTTTATGTTGGGACCAATATTTTTCTGTTCTGTTACTTAACCCCATATGTATCTATCTACTCACTTACCCAGTCAGTGATTCTTCTATCTACTCTTTAAAAAATTCACTATCCATCTACTACTCTTACATACTTCTGCCTGACTGTTGTCCATCCATCATTGATCCATTCAACCAGCCAGCCAGCCAACCATACTCCACACCTCTCAACCATCTACTTACCTCTGCATGCACCACTTATGTATTCATATACCTGTCCATGCACCACTCACTTACCCACCCATCCACGCATCATCCATGCACCCTGCTACCCATGCATCTTTCTATCCGTGATTCCAGCTATTCACTATTCACCTATTCATTCATCCAATCACCAGTCTCCCCATCTATATCCATTTTTATGGCTGGCATCTGCACTTTACTGGTTGCAGTATATTTTGAATATCACACCAGCGTCTATCTGTCTATTCACCCATTTCTCCATCCATTCATTCATGTATTCATCCAACCACTCTTTCACCCAATCATTATTGACTTAATCTTTCATTCACTTCATTTTGCTAATTTATCCTCACTCATTCAATCACTCGTTTATTCATGAGTTTATTCCGTGTGCATTTATTGAGTACCGATGCTGTGTACTCCACTGTGCCGGGGATGGTAGGGATAGAAACATGGATTTGACTGACTTTAAAAAAGCTCATCATTTGATCGGGAAGATAAGACAGGTAAAGAAAGCAAGAGTGGAAAGTTATCAGGAGAGATTTCTTTCTGCTTTGAGTGTGGGGGTGAAGGATAACAACAGAGAAACCTTCATGGAGGAGGTAACATTTGTGCAAGGCCTTGAAGAATTGATATAACTTGAATATTCAGAGATGGGGGAGAACATTTTGGGTGGTTTGAAATTAAAAAGTCTGGGCTGGGCGTGGTGGCTCACGCCTGTAATCCCATCACTTTGGGAGGCCGAGACGGGCGGATCATGAGGTCAGGAGATTGAGACCATCCTGGCTAACACGGTGAAACCCCATCTCTACTAAAAATCCAAAAAAAAAAAAAAAAAAATTAGCCAGGCGAGGTGGCGGGCGCCTGTAGTCCCAGCTACTCGGGAGGCTGAGGCAGGAGAATGGCAGGAACCCGGGGGGCGGAGCTTGCAGTGAGCCGAGATCGCGCCACTGCACTCCAGCCTGGGCGACAGAGCGAGACTCTGTCTCGGAAAAAAAAAAAAAAAGTCTGAGCCAAAGTCAGAAGGTGAAAACTGTGGGGGCATGTAGGATACCGTGAAGTTCAGTTGAGCAGGATGCTGTGAATAGTAGGAAACATAGTCTGGACAGGAGGGTGATGACTAGATCATGGAAGACTGGGAAATCTTCAGTTCCCTGAGGACCAAGCTGTTCCCCATGTTCCCTGTCAGTTCCCCCACCTTTTTTTTTTTTTTACATAACTTGTACTTTAGGTCTAAAAGCAGGAATGATCTCCCCAGGAAGCGTCCTCTGCACTTCCAACCTGGGGACACAATTTGCATATCTGCCTTCCCTTTCCTTATTTCCTTTGAGATCCCCAGTGTCTTGACAAAGCAGGTGGCAGTCGCAGAATCAACGCAAGGAAGCAAATAGCAACTTGCAAAGTTAAAAGAAATAGCGTCTCCTGTCTTTAAAGAGGTCCTAGACATCTCCCTCCAGTGTTCATCAAAAGACACTGAGACGCCCTCTGAACACACCGACCCCAACCTACTTTAGAGATGTTCAGTCCAGGCTGCCCAGGGAAGCCTCCACCCACAGTCACTTGTGGGAGGAGCATCTCCAGTCTGTAGGTTCTAGAAATGGAAAATTTGGGGAAGTGGAAATCGAGTTCTCTGTGGAGAGACAGAAATTGGGTTGCAGTAAAGATCCTGAAACAGCCTCTCACCTTCTTCCCTGCTTGGGGTCCCTCTGACCCACACACCCGCTCCATCCCATTCTCGGAGGGGCAGTGGGTGTGAGCTTTCTTTTTTTTTTTTTTTAAGGTAGTTTATATTTATTTATTTTTTTTATTTTTTTTAAATTTATTTATTATTATTATACTTTAAGTTGTAGGGTACATGTGCATAACGTGCAGGTTTGTTACATATGTATACTTGTGCCATGTTGGTGTGCTGCACCCATCAACTCGTCATTTACATCAGGTATAACTCCCAGTGCAGTCCCTCCCCCCTCCCTCCTCCCCATGATAGGCCCCGGTGTGTGATGTTCCCCTTCCTGAGTCCAAGTGATCTCATTGTTCCGTTCCCACCTATGAGTGAGAACATGCGGTGTTTGGTTTTCTGTTCTTGTGATAGTTTGCTAAGAATGATGGTTTCCAGCTGCATCCATGTCCCTACAAAGGACACAAACTCATCCTTTTTTATGGCTGCATAGTATTCCATGGTGTATATGTGCCACATTTTCTTAATCCAATCTGTCACTGATGGACATTTGGGTTGACATACCATGCTCATGGATAGGAAGAATCAATATCGTGAAAATGGCCATACTGCCCAAGGTTATTTATAGATTCAATGCCATCCCCATCAAGCTACCAATGACTTTCTTCACAGAATTGGAAAAAACTGCTTTAAAGTTCATATGGAACCAAAAAAGAGCCCGCATCTCCAAGACAATCCTAAGTCAAAAGAACAAAGCTGGAGGCATCACGCTACCTGACTTCAAACTATACTACAAGGCTACAGTAACCAAAACAGCATGGTACTGGTACCAAAACAGAGATATAGACCAATGGAACAGAACAGAGTCCTCAGAAATAATACCACACATCTACAGCCATCTGATCTTTGACAAACCTGAGAGAAACAAGAAATGGGGAAAGGATTCCCTATTTAATAAATGGTGCTGGGAAAATTGGCTAGCCATAAGTAGAAAGCTGAAACTGGATCCTTTCCTTACTCCTTATACGAAAATTAATTCAAGATGGATTAGAGACTTAAATGTTAGACCTAATACCATAAAAATCCTAGAGGAAAACCTAGGTAGTACCATTCAGGACATAGGCATGGGCAAAGACTTCATGTCTAAAACACCAAAAGCAACGGCAGCAAAAGCCAAAATTGACAAATGGGATCTAATTAAACTAAAGAGCTTCTGCACAGCTAAAGAAACTACCATCAGAGTCAACAGGCAACCTACAGAATGGGAGAAAATTTTTGCAGTCTACTCATCTGACAAAGGGCTAATATCCAGAACCTACAAAGAACTCAAACAAATTTACAAGAAAAAAACAAACAACCCCATCAAAAAGTGGGCAAAGGATATGAACAGACATTTCTCAAAAGAAGACATTCATACAGCCAACAGACACATGAAAAAATGCTCATCATCACTGGCCATCAGAGAAATGCAAATCAAAACCACAATGAGATACCATCTCACACCAGTTAGAATGGCGATCATTAAAAAGTCAGGAAACAACAGGTGCTGGAGAGGATGTGGAGAAATGGGAACACTTTTACACTGTTGGTGGGATTGTAAACTAGTTCAACCATTATGGAAAACAATATGGCGATTCCTCAAGGATCTAGAACTAGATGTACCATATGACCCAGCCATCCCATTACTGGGGATATACCCAAAGGATTATAAATTATGCTGCTATAAGGACACATGCACACGTATGTTTATTGCAGCCCTATTCACAATAGCAAAGACTTGGGTGTGAGCTTTCTAAAAGGCATACCATCACCAATTCACGTCAGTGTGGGAAGGGGGTTGTAACTACACTGACATGGAAGCCCTACAATGACAGTGTCATTCTTATGTGATAATAGCAGGTGATACAATGATGTTCCCAGGAACCCAGAGCGGGCACACCTTGCCTGTTCTGGGGATCTGTCAAGCCTTCACAGAGCAAGTGATAGCTCTGCTATGCCATGAATAAAGAATAAGAATCCCAGAGAGGGCTGGGTCAAGAAAGGGCACGTCAGGACGAGGAATTTGCACACACAAAAGCCCAGGGCTGAGGAACAGCCTGGCAAGTTCAGGAAACTGCAGGGAGCTCAGTAGGTTCCAGGAATAAGCATGGGGGAGTTGGGAACACAGAAAAAAAGGCCGAGGAGGGAGAAGGCTGAGACTGGGAGAGGCCAGAGCACCAGGCTCTTCAACAGCGTAAGGGGCCAAGGGAGCCCATGACAAGTCATTGTGTCTGCAGCAGAGGTGGGACTTGGGACCAGCCTCCAGACTTCTGGGCCAGTGCTCTCTCCAGTCCTTCCTCCCCAGAACCCAAACTGATATCTTCAAGGATGCAATAACAGTGCCCTGGAGAGTGACAGAGCCCTGAGGGGGAATAATACCATGGAGGTGACAGCATCCCAGGGGGTAACTGTGTCCCTGCGGTGACAGTGCCATGACAACGTATTCTGGGGGTGATGATGCTATGGGTGGAAGGTGATAGTGTCCTGAGGGCAATAGTGTCTTGGAGGGGTGACAATACCTGTTGGGTGACAGTGTCCTAGAAATAACAGTGACTGGGGAACGACAGTGTTCTGGGGTGTGACAGTATTCTGGGAAGGTGACAATATCCTGAGGGATGACAGTGTCCTGGAGGTGAGATGTCCTGGGTGATGTGACAGCATCGTGGTGGATAACAGTGCTCTGAGCAGGGACAGTGTCCTGGGGTGACCGTGCCCTGGAGGTGACAGTGTCCTGGGGTGATAACGCCCTTGAGGTGACTGTGCCCTGGGGACACTTTACAGTGGCTGAGGGAGAAGGTGGGGCCCGGCCTTCCTGGGGCTCTGCTGTGTGCGGGCTACCTGGTCCTGAGCAGACTGTCCCACTTAATCAGTGTTTCAGGCAGCAAGGCATCTTCCAGCTGCCTCATCTTGCCCCTGTTGGGGAAGATGAAGAAGGTGGTGGTGTTCCCAGCATGGTCCATCTGCAGCACAGAGCATTGCAACTCAGGGTCGTGCAGGAAGCGGTGGCTGGCCTTCTCCTTCATCATGGGCACCCACACAGCCCTGTGCTCATCTACAAAGAACTCCTTTGGGCTGGTGGCACGTGAGTCAAAGGGTTTCATCCACTCAGCTGAGGGGAAGAGCAACACAAATGTCATCCTCACAGAGAACCGAGAACGGGCTTGGGGTCACCCTTCTGGCAGCTTGTGGGAGTGGGGAAAGCACCTTGGATGCTGGAATCTTGGAGTCCACACTCAGGAAGCCAAGTCCCACTCAATAACTCACTCCTGAGAGGTCCCTTAGTACCTGTGTGGCCCTGGGGCTGAGCCCGGAGCCTCCCTGAGCTTCTGTCCTCATTTGAAAATGATCAATACTATTAGAAACTATTACAATAGTATAATCTAGGGCTTTGAAATCTAGGGCAAGTTACCCCACTTTGTGTCAAGTGGACACGATATCTATCTTGTTGGGTTGTGATGAGAATTAAAATTAAATATGCGCAGAGCCGGCATGTTAATAAGAACTTTGTAGTCAATATATGTGTGTGTATGTGTAACCATGCCTACAAATAAACACCATCAACAGTCATAGATGCATATTTGAGTGACGCCTCACTGGCTCAGGCAAATAAGCTTTTTTCTTTTTAAAAAATCTGTTTTCTCATCTGTAAAATGGGAACATTGATCTTAGGCATATCTGCTAAGATAAGACTGGTCTGTTTCACCCAGGTGAGAGTCAAGAGAGATTGTGGGGTACACACACTTTGAGATCTACAGAGCACTGTACGAATGTGAGGACTGAGTTCACCTCCTGAGTCCTGAATGAGAACAAGGGGATAACAACAAGCGTCCCCTGCCCGCCCCCAAATGGCCACCATGGCATCATGTGGTCTATTAAACTAAGTCAGGCATTAACAGCGGTGGATTGAATGTCATGACTGTATTGTTTAAACACACACAATGGTGGGGACATGCAGCCTGTTCACTGTCTTGGAAAAAATTAAGGACTTAAAAAAAATTTAGGACTCTTCCTGCTCTAATCCATGCCTCCTAAGGCCTGCCAGAGGAAGGAAATTCAGGTTCCTTAATACAGTGGTGGCTTCTAGAGTTACTCAGAGGGGAGCTCATAGTCTTCCATTAGCAGAATCACCTGTGTGAGGAAGGGAGGTGAGCTTCTTCAAACGCAAGGTCATGGGTCTTGGACTTACCCCACTGAAATCAGAATCACTTAGGATAGGTACGAGATACCTGCATTAAACAAACTCTCTAGAAAGTTCATATGCACATTAAGTTTGAAAAACTCTTCTTTAAACACAAACTCTTCCAGTGTCATTAACATGGAGAAGGAGATGAGTTCCGTGTTACTGGAGGCATTCAAGTAGAGACATCAAGAACTCAGGGGCAGACACTCACTGAGTGTCACCTATATCTAAGTCAGGAGGGGACACTTTCCAGCTGCTGTGAGGGGTGGGGCTCGGGTGTGGTTGGAACCTGGGTTCTGGGATTCTGGGAAGGAGGTTTGCATTGGGCACACACGCTCTTACCTCTGAGGAGCATGTGATTCACCAGAACTGCTGTGGTTTCACTGCTGAGGTCCTTCTCCCAGGCCCCAAGCTTCCCCTGGGTCTGCTTCTCTATGTATTCGTCAATGTGTTTTTGGGCCTCCTCTAGGCTCTGGTTGGCCCTTGTGCCCAGGCCACTGAACCTGTGCTGGGCCATGGTCAAGAGGAGCCGGGGACCCTGCCCAGGGAGCCTGAGCATCAGATCCCAGAAGCCCTCCTGGATCTCCGCCTCAGGCACCACAGTGAGGTTGAACCCCAGGCCCTCCAGGAGTTTGGTCCTGCTGGCCCCTGGGGCCCCCCGAGAAAGCATGGCCAAGGCCAGGGAGAGGCTCACCGGGGAGAAGAGAATGTTCTCTCCAGGGGCGCTCACAGCCAACTGTCTGTAGAGTTTGAAGGCAAAGTCTATGTTGCTCACAGAGATTTTGTGGCAGGGCAGGGCAGGCCCAGGGCTGCTGTCCTGGGGGCCAGAATGGATGAGATCCGAAGCTTCTTGGTCAACCAGAGCCACACAATGAGCCCCAGCCATGAGCACAGTGACCAGCGGCCACCACCAAGGGGCTTCCATCCTCTGGGGTCTTTGGTCTGAAAGCAGCGTGGCAGAGAGGACAACAATGTCAATGGTAATGATAACGACAATGTGTGATATTCACAAAGTGTCTGCCCTGTGCCAGGCACCCAGCAAATACTTCAAGGCTCTCCTTGCCTCTCCTGGGGGCTCCCTTCCCATCCCCTCCTCCCCACTCCACAGCTTCCTGCTCACAGACAGACATGGGGGATCTCTGGACAAAGTCAGAGCCCCTCGTCCAGAGGACCCTTCTATGAATCCTGGCTGCGCCACATCCCAGATCTACGACCTTGGGTGATCCACTTAGCCCATCTGAGCCCCACTTCTTATCCCTGACCTTAGACTTGCAGGAAGCTTGTAAGGAGAGGAGGGCTAGGAGGTGCCTCATGGTACAGCAAGGAGTCCAGGGCTCTGCTCGCATAAGCCCAGCAACCTTAGGCAAGTGGCCTTGCCTCTCAGGACCTTGGCTTCCACTCTGTGGGATGCTGCTAAGAATCCCCACATCACAAGGCTACAGAAATTCAAAGTGTGCACAGAGCACACTCAGCCCAGGAGCCGGCACAGAGAGCCCCAGGAGTGGCAGCGGACTTGGGGCCTCCCTTCCAGTGGTCTGACTCAGCAGGCCTCCGTGGAGTATGGAATCCATTTTGGCAAGGATCTGAGCTGGTCCTGGGCCCCACTTAGGGAACCACTGTGATACTTTTAACAGGAAAATCAGATGCGTTCACTCCCTGCTAGAGACTTCCAATGGCCCTATAGCAACCAAGAGAAATCCTGTGTTTCTCACCACACCTTAGGAGGCCCTACATGACAGGGTCCTGCTAGCCTTTCTCGCATCCTCTTTTTTTTTTTTTTTGAGACAGAGTCTTGCTCTGTCACCCAGGCTGGAGTGCAGTGGCGTGATCTAGGCTCACTGCAACCTCCACCTCCCAGATTCAAGTAATTTCCTAGTAGGGACACGGTTTCACCATATTGTCCAGGCTGGTCGAACTCCTGACCTCAGGAGATCTGCCCACCTCGGCCTCCCAAAATGTTGGGATTACAGGGATGAGATACCATGCCTGGCCTCTGACCTCCTTCTGATCATCCTTTCCCTCCCTCCCTCTGCTCCAACCATCCTGGCCTTCTTGCTAGTCTAGAACTTACCAAGCTTCTTCTTCCTGCTCAGGACCTGTGTTCTTGCTGTTGGCTGCCCGGAGCAGCCTTGCTCTGACCCTTTCCACAGCTCACTTCCTTCCTTCACTCAGTTGTTGGCTCAAAGGTCACCTCCCCAGAGAGACCCCACCTCTGCCCTTGCCACCCTCACCCTGCCTGGTTTTTCTGATGCCCATCTGGCATGATAGGACATGTTTGTCTGGTTTCTCCACTAGAAGACAAGCTCCATGAGAGCAGATACTCTGTCTCATGCATGGTTCATTCCTAGCGCTCAGCGCAGAGTGCTCTCTCAACAATATTTGTTGGAAAAAACAAATCGTTCATGGGCTAACCTTTGGGGGGCCTCCTTCTAGGGCTTCTGCCTTACCTAGAGCACAGGCGTTTTCCTGCCTCTCTGGGACCTAACACTGGACCATTCCTAGCTTTCTCTGCCACAAGTGCTTGGCCTCACATGTCCACTCTAGGCTTGGGTTAATAACTGACAGAATCGACCATCATCACAACCCCTTGTCCTGCCTCTGATTTTCCATGGGACCTTGGGCAGCCCTGGGCCTTTCTGAACTTGAGCTTCCTCATCTGCGTAAGAAACAATCAGCTCAGCCTCAGCCTCAGCCTCCAGGAAAGCCTCTGTTCCCTGCGATTTACTTATTGACAGAGAACCAACTATCTCCATTTACCCATTTGCCTGGTAATCTGCTGTGGTGAATATCTTGGTTTTGCTGAAGTTTGTACTTTCATTGTCTTGTCTTTAACTTTCATTCATTCGCTCATTCATTCATTGAACAAACATAGACAAAACGTCTGCTGCATGTCAGGACTTGAATTGTACGCTGGGGACACAATATGAAAGAGACACAGTGGTTCCCTTGGGGAGGCTCGGGTCCTGTGGGACAGACAGGCAGAGATCTGCGCAGGGTGGTGTGTGCTGCATGGCCAGGCTGGTGACAAGCTGTCTCGGGTCCAGTGTTCTGTCCATGTTCGCATTCTCTAGGTGGGGTTCCATTGTGCCCTGCTGGTGAGGGTGTAGTTGGAACCTAGCAGCAGCAGAGGCTTCCTCTGAGGGCCCACAACCATGGAGCTTTTGAGCAGAAAGGATGCCCTGGTCTAACCTGGGCCTTGGACAGACAGGAACACTGAGGCCCCGAAAGACGCTCATTCATGTACTTGCTGACTCACTCACTGAATGAATATTCAGCAGTCAGGGCAACAGGGACTGGCAGCCTGGGCCCTGCCTGGAAAGAACATGCCAGTGATTGCAGGGAAATGCGGGGAGCTGATTACAGCTCAGTGAGGAAAGGACGATAGCATTTAGAGGCGAACCACAAAGGGTGAATGAGGAGCCTATAGGAGGCATGGAAGGTAGAAGTTCCTGGAAGGCTTCCTGGAGGAGGTGGCACCTGAACTGAAACTGGAAGATGGAGCAAGAGAGAGGCAGGAAAGGGATTTGGGGGTTTCAGCAGAGGCAGGAGCATGCTTGAGGCCATGGAGGCAGGGTGAGTCGGCACCACTCCAGACTGTTGCCTATATGCACAGCTCCTGTTGCACAGTGGGCACATGAGTGTGTGTGTGTGTGTGTGTGTGTAGGTGTGTGTAACATGATGATCTAACTTGTGGCAAGTTCAACAAGTCAGCTGGGGAACTGGGGATCTAGCCCCACCCACAGCCCCCAACTCACCTGAAAGTGAATGCTTTCCGTGAGCTTTTGGAGGAGCTGGGGGAGATTCGGCAGGTTTAACGGCCCTTGAAAAACTGCGTTCCTCAGGGAGGGTTGTGATGGGCTGGATTTCTGGGAATAACTCAGACTGAATAAGGCTGCCCTTGGCTCAGTGTCCACCCTTGGCAAAAACCAGCAGAGGAAAACAATCTGCCCTCCATTAGGGTTATGTGGAAATCCGTGTGTGGAGAAGAACGTGGGTTGTGCCCTGGAATCGTGACGGGTGTCCTGGAATTGTAGCGGGTGTCCTGGAATTGGGGCCGGTGTCCTGGAATTGTGGCGGGTGTCCTGGAATCGGGGCGGGTGTCCTGGAATCCGGGCGGGTGTCCTGGAATCGTGGCGGGTGTCCTGGAATCGGGGCGGGTGTCCTGGGTGCAGGTTCCACCACTTTTGTTGTGCCTGACACTCCCAGGCCTCAGTTTCTTCCCCCGCCCTCCTTACTGCTCAAGGTTGACAGGAAAGTTAAGCCTAGTGATATACATAGAGGTTCTAGCAAAAGGCTGAGCAAATCGGAGCGATGCTCCGCCCTCTCCTGGTCACATGCTTTTGCCCAACACACATTATGGACACTTAACTGTTGTGTCAGACACTGTGCTCATCACAAGAAAACAGAGACGCCCAAGTCAGAGTTCTTGCCTCCAAGGAGCTTGAGTTACGGTATTTTTAAATGTCATAATTGCTTTTTCATTCAGGCTCTAATACCTTTTAAGTTGTAATGGCTAGTTACAATGTAATGATTGCTTCTTTGGGAAAGTCGATAGAACTTTCCCCTTTCATGCAATGTGAACAGAAAAGTTAATATGTACTCAACAGAAAGAGTGTTTGCAAAGCCTTAGCGAATCAAATGCTTGTCTTTCCTGAGCTGGCTTGGAGGCAGGGATGGCACAAGAGGACCTGCAGATTGAGTGCAGATAAGATTCCCAGGAGATAATGGGTCTGAGCCAGAATTAATTTTCTTCCAGCTTTGCTTGTTATTACTATATTTTTGCTCTGCTTATCCACTGTCTTGACATCAATAGCCACACGGTCACCTCTTGTTGACTTCCTAAAACCTTCAATTCTTGATGTTCACATCACGGATGGCACCACAGGGGTCTATTATGAGATTCATTGTATTCATTCATTCACTAATTCATTCATTCATCATGGAATGCTTACTGCATGTGAGGATGATGCATTAAGTACTGGGGAATAAGGCAAATCCTGCCCTCAAGGATTTTTTTTAATGGCTTTATTGAGATATAATTTATATATTATACATTTCACCCACTCAAAGTGTGTCATTCAATATGTTTAGTATATTGACAGAATTATATGGCCATCACCACAATCAAATTTTATTTATTTATTTATTTATATTTCAATACGTTTTGGTGGAACAGGTGGTATTTGGTTACATGAATAAGTTCTTTAGTGGTGATTTCTGAGAGTTGGGTGCACCCATCATCCAAGCAGTGTACACTGTGCCTTATTCATAGTCTTTTACCCCTCACACCCCTCCCACCCTTTCCCCAGAGTCCCCAGAGTCCACTGTATCATTCTTGTGTCTTTGCGTCCTCACAGCTTAGCTCCCACTTATAAGTGAGAGCATACAATGTTTGGGTTTCCATTCCTCAGTTACTGCACTTAGAGCAATGGCCTCCAGTTCCCTCCCGGTTGCTGTGAATGCCACTATTTTGTTCCTTTCATGGTTGAGTAGTATTCCATGGTATATATAGACCACAGTTTCTTTATCCACTCCTTGACTGATGGGCATTTTGGCTAGTTCCATATTTTTGCAGTTGCTAATTGTCCTGCTATAAACGTGTGTGCAGGTATCTTTTTTGTATAATGACATCTTTTCCTCTGGGTAGATACCCGAGAGTGGGATTTCTGGAGGATTTTTTTTTTGTTATGGAAAAATGCAAACCTATAAAAAAATAGAGAGAATGGTACAATGCGCCCCTGTATGCCCATCAGCAGCTTCAGTTCTTTTCAATATAAGACCAATATCATTTTTTGACACCTTCCAATCTCTTTCTCCCTGTGGAATATTTCAAAGCAAATCCTATAAAATATTTCATTTTATGTACAAAAATTGGGAAAAAAATCTTAATTGTAATAGCATGTCACACTTTTAAAAACAATAATTTCTTAATGTTATCAAGCCATTGTTTCCCTAACTGATTCCTAATCATTTTTTCTTTGAATGTCAAGTGTCTTCTGTACTTTCTTTTATTAACATCACAGTCTTTGCATCAAGATACATAGCAATGATAGCAGATTTCTTTTTAAAGCTTAGTATTAAATAGTAAATATCTTTCCCCATTTAAATTTTACATTACTCTGACAAGAAAAAACACACTAAAACTCAAGTTACTTCAAGCGTGGACACACTTCTATGATTAGCCGGGCTGCTTAAGAGTTGGCTTCATTCTTTCTGCTATGTAAGCAGATTCAGGCCCTAGAAAGATGGGACCAGGTTATACAATTGTTTTGAAAAGTGTGCTACAAAAATGGATGGCCTGTTATAAGCCAGGATACAAAGTAAGGATGGGGGTAAGGGAGGTACATTTTCTTCAAGAAAAAAAGCAAATTTCTCAAGAGTTCCACTTCATAATTTTCCCAAAATGGTTGGGGTAAAACCTCAACATGAGGTTCAAAGTACCATCTCTGTGGGGTTCGGTAGTTGCTTTGCCAAGGAGGGTGACTGCTGAGGAGGGGATGGCTAAGTTTTACCGTGCCCCATCCTCATCTAGGAGAATGGAAATAGAAACTTTATTGTCCAGCGGGTGTGAAAGTGGGCTGAAGTTGGTTGGTACTAAACTCTCTAAGAGTTTTTTCTAGAAACAGACAACTCAGACTCCTCCTCTTACTTTAGTGAAGAAGTTATTTTTAAAAAGCACCTGGTCTGGGCACAGTGGCTCATGCCTATAATCCCAGCACTTTGGGAGGCCAAGGTGGGTAGATCACTTGAGGTCAGGAATTTGAGACCACCCTGGCCAACATGGTGAAACCCCATCTCTAGTAAAAATACAAAAATTAGCTGAGTGTGGTGGTGCACACCTGTGGTCTCAGCTACTCAGGATGCTGAGGCAGGAGAATTGCTTGAACCCAGGAGGCAGAGGTTGCAGTGAGCCGAGATGGCACCACCTCACTCCAGCCTGGGTGACAGAGAGAGACTGTCTCAAAAAATATAAATATAAAAATAAAATAAAAGCACTTGGGAAGTTCCTCCTCCACCCCTCAGATGGGAAGGCTCAGAGAAGGGAGTCATCAGTACAGTCACCTTCTCAGCTGTAATGGAATTCCTGAAGGTTGGAGACCCCACAGAAGTGGACAAAGGCCACTGTCACCATGAGGACATGGAAAATCTGCTGAGACTGGAACCATATGTCAAATTTTCCCGGAAAGACGCGCTCAGGAATTTGAGCAGCATAAAGGCCAGCTCTGGTGATGTACATCACAGCCATGAGGCAGAACCAGCCCATCGGGCCCACCGTGGTGGCCTTGACAAAGCCCTCAGCAATAGTAGAGTGCATGGTGGGCACAATGCCACTCAAGCCAAATCCCAGGAACACCCCTGCCCTTGTCTGCCGGTGCTTAGGAGTGACAAACCGGTCCCGTTGTCACAATGATGGCAAAGATGCTCAGGACACAGACGATAGAGGGGTAGATGAGCTGTGGCTGTGGGAAGCAGTAAAAGGAGTAACAGAGGCAGGGGACGAAGCTCCTTGTAAGCAGTGGAGCAATCCCCGAATAGTACAGTTTGGAAAAGGTCCGAGAGACTTTCTCTGAATGACAGTAGACAGTGTGGACGAGCCAGGAGAAGCTGAGGCAGAGCACTGCACCCACAAAGAATATCCCCCAAACCACCTTCTCCTGTAGAGGGGCCGTGAAGTACATATTTGGTCTGAGTACGGTCAATATTTCCAAAAAGAGAAACAGCACGAAACCAAGCAGATGGGTCCAGATGTTGCCAGTTTCTGTATGGATATAGAAGATGCTCCTGGAGCAAGCCCAGAAGGAGGACATGGGTTGTCTATGGCCATATAGCAGACAGTCATTGTCCTTCAGCCAGTCAGGGAGCCCATCATATTGATGGTGGCAGCAGCTTGTCTGGAGCTGCCACTGCGGGGATGCCAGCAGCACTGGGCAGGGGACGGGGAATGCACGGCCAGGGTTGCATGCTCTGTGGAGCCAGTTGGGGCTGGTAACAGTAGGGAGCCCCGTCCCCTACTGAATTGGTGGGGTGGGACCCCCATGCGTTCAGGTGCAGCTGCAGCCTCCCATCCTCAACTCCAGACCCAGGTATCTCTGTGCTCTTGGGGACCCAGGAAGTCCCTTGTTCCCGCAGGTTTTAAAGTGCCTGCTCCCACTCCCGGTGTCCGCTCCAGTGTGGAGCAAAGTTGTGGCCAAGCCCAGGTGCTGTCACAAGCCAGCTGGATGTGTGCACAATCAGGGCAGTACTGACATGCCAGCCCCCTGCCACCTCAGCACCCTCCGGACTTTGTGTTCCGACAGGCACAGGAGGGAGGCCAAGGGGATGCTGAGGGTGGCTCGAGGTGGGCCTGCAGGCACCTCTCAGCACAAACAGCCTGAATGCTGTGGACAGCATGTTAATGGCAGGAGGCAGACAGTTTCCTGGGCTGAAAGGGGTGGATCCCCAGTGAAGCCCCACCTTCAAGCCAGGGACAGCCTGAAGCCTGGGGACTGGGCTGCCAGTTCTGGGTGGGGTTCTGTGGTGCAGAATGAGAACTTACAGTGCTTTTTCTGGGCCTGCCCATGACCACCCAAGGACCAATTAACATGCACTTCCTCCCTTCTGAACCCATGAAATTCCTGGGCTCAGCCAGACTCCAAAAGATGTCAGGACAACCTGCCTGTGGAAAGCAGCTACCCACTGCAACAAGAAGGAGAGAAGAACTGATACGTTCTGGGGAGCCCAGACCTAGGGGCTCCCCAAGCCAGGGCTG